CCTGCCACTCCCTGGTCAGGCGCCTGGGACTGTGCACGCCGCCCCTGTGAGCACCTTCTCTGCTCGTCGCCCGGCCGTGGCTGCCCCTCCCCTAGAGCAGAAGCCAAAGCCCTCACGGGCCACAGGCCCCGTGTAGCCTCCCTGGAACCTCCTGGACCCTGCTCGGCTGGCTCTACTGTCCTGGCCCCTTTCCCCAGGGCGTTTGCCTGTGCCGTTTGTCTTCCCGAAATGCCCGTCTAGGCGGCTGGGGGCTCGTCCCTGCCCTCCATTCAGCAGTCTGCCCAGGCCTCTCTCACCTTCCCTGACGATCCACCGTCCCTCCTGCCCTGCTAAAGTTTCTCTTAGCTGTGCCTGCCGTGAGAGCAGGCAATCCCTGCGTGCTGGTTTGTTGCTTTTCTCTCCTGGTAGAATGTAATCTCCATGAGGTGAGAGTGGGAATCACGCCTGTCACGGTCAGTGAGCCCAGTGGCCTCCAGCAGGGCCTGCACACAGTGGGTGCTCTATAAGTGTTGGGTGAATACATATGTGAACTGACAGGGGCTCCTTGGTCACCCCTTCTCAGTCATCCCCCTGCACCCTGGTTCTCCTGTTCCAAGCCCTGTCTACACTGTTCTTGGCCAGCGCAGACAGCACCTCCTCTAGGAAGCCCTCCCCTCAACCTTTGTGTTGTGTCTCACCCCAGCCTCTCTTTCGAGGGTGCTCTGGGGAGGCGTCTGGTTTCTAGAGATCTCTCCCCACAGCAGGAAGCCCGCGTCTTGTTCGTTCCCATGTCATTGCTCTGCAAGCCTTCATTAGGTGCCAGTGTGGGGTGGCCCTGGGAATTGGTCCGCCGGCTGGGGGCTGTGAGGGAGAGACGCCTGTGTGGTATCTGGGAAGGCATCCTGGAGGGGGCCACGAAGGGCCCTGGGATCTCTGCAGTGTTCCTGCCTGCCCATCCTGCTGCCCGCAGGTGCCTGGCCTGGCGCAAGCTCTTAATTGCTTCTCTGCTATTGGGTCCTCCGGCGGTCCTCGCTGGGCACAGACTGTGGGCGTGGCCTGTGCGCATGCAGCCTGGGGAAAGCGGGGCTCTGCGATTCCTCCAGGCCTCCCAGGGCCAGGCTGCCCCTGCCGTGACGCGACTCCCTGGGCGAGCGGGAGAGGTGGCTCCCTCTCCCCACTCTAAGCTAGCGCAGCCCGGGGTTATGGCTTGTGACTCCAGGCCGAGTGGGGGTGGTGGGCCTGCGGAGGGGCGTCCCGGAGTGCGTGGGCCCTGGGTGGGCCCGCAGCCTGGCTCAGGAGCGTGGGGCATGCCGTGTGTCTCGGCTGCAGCCGGCCTCCCGGTTTCCAGGACAGCCACAGCTGCTGCTTCGCCCCGCCATGTGCTGCCAGGGCCTCTCTGGTTCCAGGCATCGGGATCCTGGGACAGCTTTGTTCCCAGGAGCCTTCTCTCCCCTCTGCCCGGAGCTTTCCCAGATGGATTTTGGGGCATGGCCTCGGATGAGGGCTGCCAGGGGATGGGTCCGAGTACCCTTCTCCTGGCTGAGGGCTGTCCTGGCAGGGCCTGGCGCACACACAGGCCCAGAGCCTGGCGCGAGCCTGGCATGGACAGCAGCTGTCCCCTCCTCCGTGTGGGACACAGAAGGGCTGAGGCGTCAGGGCCGGGGTGGACTTAAACGGGGCCAGGAGCGAAAACTTGGCGGGGGAGACAGGAGACAGCCGTACCACACCCCATTTCTGGCCCCTCTGTCCTGGGGGCTCCTCATCATGCCCCAGCTCATGGGCTCTGGCTCCCCCACCCCTGTAACGCGGGCACGCGGCTCACGGTTTTGTCTTTGCTTCAGCGTTTCCATGTGTGCGCCTCAGGGAAGTCCCTGCGTCACGGGCTGTTCTGTGGATCAGGCATGCTAATTCGTGTCAAATGCTTGCAGGAGCGTTCAAGCATCAGTGCTGGTTGTTGGCCATCCTGTCCCAGCCGCTCCCTTCTCCAACAGATGCCGCTGGGGTTGACCCAGTGGACACGGCAGAGTCGACCCAGTGGCCCGGCCCGGCCCTCGGGGTCCCCGCGAGGGAGGAGGGCGTGGGGCGCTTTGCAAACACAGGTTGAGCCCCGGCCCCAGCGTGTGCACGCAGCATGGGGTGTGGGACGCGAGTGCCACGCGGGTGCCACGCGGGCTGGGGTCGGGCCTCCTGGTGGAGCACGCTGGGGCACGTGTGGTTTGGGCCCCGAGAGCCCTCGGATCTGGGTGGTGGAGGAGCCCTGTGTCGGGGGAAGCTGGGCAGTGGCTTTGCCTTGCTCAGCCCTGGGGCCTGCTGAGGGGACGTGGTGGGGCTGGAAGCGACCCCCCCGCCGTGTTGCCGTGGCTGTCCCCGGCCCAGAGAAGGCAGTTCCCAGCCGTCGCCCAGGCCTGGCTGGGGCGGGGGTCCTGCCTTTGGGCCGGGCCGTCCCTGCTGCTGAGTGTGTCCAGATGTGGCCTAATGGAAGCCACATGCCCGGCCCGCAGGCGGGGGAGAAGGGCCTGGCGCCTGCTGTCATTCGGGGGGCTCTGTGAGGGCAGCATCTCCACAGGGCTGGCACGGTGGAGGGCAGGGTGGAGGGGACCCGGGGCAGGCCCCTCAGGAGCTCAGGGTTCCAGGAGCAGCCGGAGGCAACCCCCGCCCTGGAGGTCTCAGCACAACCTCTGCAGGCGTCGGGGATGCGTGGCAGGAAAGGGGCTCTTTCCCGGGGCCCCATGGAGCCGGAGTCTGGGGCAGGGTCTCGGCGCTGTGGCGCTCTGCTGACAGAGAGGCTCCTCAGGGTCAAGCGCCTGCTTCCGTCAGTTGCAGATGCCGCCTAGCGTGCGACGTGGGCCAGGCGTGGTGGCGAGCGCTGGGTCTGGAGCCTTTATTCCTCGCAGCAGCCCCGCTCGGTCTGCGGGGGTGGAAGGTGGGCTTCTGAGAGCCCAGGCCACTTGCCTGTGGACGCGGGGCGGAAGGTGGTGGGCCCAGGCCTCAGCGGCACTCTTGGCATCCTCCAGCCCTGGCGGTCGTGTTTGGGCACCCAATGTGTGCGTGGGCCCGGATGCAGGGCCCAGCCCCTGCCCTCTAGGAGTTTAGGGTTTAGCGGGGGAGATCAAGAAGCCAGCGTCACCCCGGCGTGAAGTTCCCAGCAGTGCTTTGCAAGCCTGTCTGCAGGGATCTGACTCCTCCTGGGGTGGTGGGGAGTGGTGGGAAGTGGTGAGGAGAGGGCGCTCCAGACGGGGGGACAGCGCATGCCAAGGTCCTGCGGCCAGAGGGAGCTGAACCTGATGGAAGAGAAGCTCTGGGGGGTGTGAGAAGAGGCTGGAGAGGGCAGCCAGGCCCAGGGTGACGTGTGCGTTCTCAGGATGAAGACACGGGCCTCTGTCCCCAGGGTAGGAAGGAGCCATGGAAGGCACAAGGCGGGGGCTGGCATGCCCCGATGTGTGTCTTGAGGTGTCCTTTCCAGGGGCAGGGAGGAGAACACAGGCGCGTCTCTGAGGCCCCCAGAATCAGGCTGTGGCAGCATGCAGCGACCTGCCTGGACTCGACCCTGTTCCCTGGAGGACTTCTGCAGATTCTCTTCTCCCGTGTAAGCCTGTGAGGGTCTGAGGAGCCCGTGGGTGCTGCCAGGGCCCCGAGGGAGCCGGACCGGGACCCTGCGTCCCTGAGCCCCTGGCTGGTGTGACGGAGCCGCCCCCTGCGGGAGCTCCAGGCGCCTGGGGCAGCGGGGAGAGGTCGGCCTCCAGGGCTGTCGCCTGCTCAGCAGCAGGGCCCTGTGAGGCGGGTGTCGGGGGTCTCAGGCGCCCCTCTCCTTCCTCGCCCGCAGGCCTTGAAATGGGGTGCTTGGCTGTGCCAGGGCCACAGAGAGTCTGCTGGGAACGGCCACGAATGGTGCCCAGGAGGCCTGGGCCGGCGCGTTGGGAGGCCAGCTGCTTCAGTGCTGGCTGCCTGCTGCCACGCGCCAGATGCAGGCCGCTCTGAGAGTGCCGAGTCGGGAGTGCAGAGGTCCGCGTGGGCTCTGGGCCCCCCTTGCTGGCTGTGTGCCCTCGACACCCCTCTGAGCCCCGCCGCCTCTTGGTGGCTCTGAGCACAGGGCACCGCCCTGAGGACTGCTGGGGTGCCGTCTGCTGGGGCCTTGTGGAGGGAGGGCCCAGCTGGTGCCCCCCAACCTGCCGGCGGGCTTGGCTGGCAGTCCTGCTCACGGCTGCCCACTGTGCCTCTGTCCACCTGTGAGCTTCTTTTGCAGAGCGTAGTCACGAGTATTAGACGTGGCTGCAGGCGCTTCAAAGTGGGAAGACGTCAAGAGAATTCGGCTTTCTGGCTGGTGTTGCTGAAAACCTGGCAGATGTCGCCGTCTGCCTTTAGGGGCACTGAGGAGGTGTCCTCAGACTGGACAGGTGCCCTTTAGGCCAGCTGTCCTGGGCCTCACGGCCGGCCGGCCTAGTCAGCAGCTGGATTCAGGGGCACCGTCAGAAACAGAGCCTCACCCTGCGGCCGCCTTGGCAGAGTCCTTGCAGCCATCCCGTTTTATGGAGGGAAGACTGTCCCCCTGGGGTGGGGGCTTTTCTGGAGGTAGGGCCGGTGGCAAGGGCCCTGGTCTCCCAGTGGGGGTGGGGGAGTGGGCTTGTGGCTCCCACAGGGGACCTGGAGGTCGGGGTGGGTCTTGGTGGCCAGTAGCTGGGCCCTCCCCGCGCGCGCCTGC